CACCCGATCCGCTCCGGGCCCGCGGGAGCCGGGAGGGAGCGCCGGGCTTACCCAGGGAATCCGTCTTGTTCTCCACCGTATGGTTCACCTTCCTGGCCACCCTGGCCACCGCCTCGCCCATCCTCTTCTGCAGCTGGGCGCCCGGTCCCGCCGGGAACGCGCCTGGCATAGGGGGATCCACGGCTGGAGGGAGAGATCAGCGGCTCCGGCCGCTCGGGAGAGGGAGGTTAAAAATAACCCGCAGGATCAGTCTTCCCAGGGGAGGAGGGAGGCTCTGCTGGGGTTGGCAGGTTCCTCAGGGATGAGATTCCCAGCTTTACAGGATGGGACGTTTGGGATATGGGTTTTCATCCTAGTCCCTGGTTTGGGAAATGAGGATGGATCCCTTTTCCTGGTCTGGGATATTTGGATGCATCTCCTTTCCTGGTATTGGATGTGGGGATCCATGCTCTTTTCCTAGTTTGGGATATGGGGATGCATCTCCTTTCCCAGTATGGGTTATGGGGATACATCCCCTTTCCTGGTACGGGATGTGGGGCTACCTCTCCTTTCTTGATTTGGGAAACGGGGATGAATCCCTTTTCCTGGTCTGGAATATCTGGATGCATCCCCTTTCCTGGTATTGGGTATGGGGATCCATGTCCTTTTCCTTGTTTGGAGTATGGGGATGGATCCTAGTCCCTAGTTTGGGAAATGAGGATGGATCCCTTTTCCTTGTCTGGGATATTTGGATGCATCCCCTTTCCTGGTATTGGATGTGGGATCCATGCTCTTTTCCTGGTTTGGGATATGGGGATACATCCCCTTTCCTGGTATGAGATATGGGGATGTATCTCCTTTTGCGGTCTGAGAAATATGGATGCATCCTATTCCCTGGTTTGGCAAAAGGGGCGTGTATCCCCTTTCCTGGTGGCTCCGCTCAGCTCGGCTTAGCCAAACTTTCGGCAAAAAGTCTCCCGGGCGGGAAGGCAAGACGAGACACCCGCATGCCCAAAAAGCTGCGTTCCCACGCCGGGAGTCGAACCCGGGCCGCCTGGGTGAAAACCAGGAATCCTCACCGCTAGACCACGTGGGAGGGCGCGGGCAG